GTTGCCTGTCTAGGATGGGGCTAGCCCAGAAGGATTAATATTGTATAGGTTTCTAGGTTCGGGGTCTTGCTTCTTCCGGGCTGCCTACGAGCAGCTCTGGGGGTGGAAGATGCCTGGACGTGTAATGTTAATTCTTGCCTGTGACCCTTTGAATAAACCAGCAGGGTTATATTTTTATATATCCAAGTGGTCTGAGTTGTCCCTCTGAGTTCCTGGTTTGAAAGAACCAGACGTGGCTTTATAATAGAATAAAGCCTTTAATTTCCAAAGTTATTTTGGTTGCGGTTTACTATGACCTGGATGACTGAGAATCTGCACAGATATGTTCCTGTACAGGGACTCGCTGTTTTACCTCACTAGGCCTAACCTACCACCAAGCAGCCTGTGAAGCTGGATTGCAATGCTGGATTCCCATGGACCACAGTACCTGTTTGTTTTGACTGCGTAAAAACCCATGATGGGGTAAGATGCAGTGACCACCGGTTGGATTTACCGACCTTGGAGCTACTTGAAAAGGAGTGATGTTTCCAATAGTTGGTGGGACTTAAAGGTAAGTTTAAAAAAAAAAAAAAACCTTGTTAATACCTTGTCTCTGTAACGTTACAGACAATTGTTGTAAGGTTGTAGAACTTACTATGTCTGCATTATGCCAGTTAAAACATGGGGTTTCTCAATTACCCACTTTGTTTAGAGTGTTACACAACTCTTTTTATCATATACCGTTGTTTACCTATCTAGGGAAGAGAAATTCAAATTAATGAAGTGACGGTTCATTGTGCTGTCCACTTTCTACACAACACCGGCAGCAACTGTCCTCTCATTTTTAGGAAGAGGCTCTCTGGTTTTATAATTCTGAAATAATAACAGACTATTTAGGGTTATTATGGGTGCAAAACTAATCTACAGGTAGCCAAGATTAAACATTAAATGGCTGGAAATTAGCAAAATGAGCAGCCATGGGCTTTTAAATATTAATCTAACATCAAGACAGCTGTGTTTTTAAATATTTATTTAGTTAATGTATTTTTTTAATCTTTTATTTACTACTGACAGAAACGCTAGCGAGTGAATCAAAGTGAAATCACGTCCATCGAGTTCGCTGTTATTCTGAATGTAGTTCTTACCTAGCTTTACCATAACGTGTAGTATATAGACAACCTGCAAAACACTGGGGCGGATGGCTTGACCGCAGTTTGATACGGACGTGAGACGCGCGTATAAAACGCTTTCGATGTAAATTAGACTTTAGATTTGTTTCCTCGCTAATGGCAGCTGATAAGAGTCGACGTCACGGGACTGCTGTGCAGCTGTATGTTGCTGTTTAATGGCCGAAGTGTGTTAACCATACTGGTAAATTACAGTCCAGTTAGGTCCGCCAAGCTGCCTGTGATTCCTACAATAAACGTAATAAACACGGAGCCCACTATATACCTGTCCTCGCTGGGTGCTGATGGTGGTCGCCATGTTGCCTCTTTGATGCCGTCAGAATCAGATTCTCTTTAATCACAGGCGTTCTCTTGTCGATATAAAAACAGAAACTATGGTGCACTGTACTCAGCTTAGATTTAACCCGGAAGTAGTCGTCTTCTTCTTCTTATTATTATTCTTCTTCTTATTATTCTTCTTCTTCTGCTGTTTAATCGCGGTTGACAAACAACTTTAGGTGCGTTACCGCTACCGTATAGACTGGAGTGGGGATTAGAAAGGCTCTCGTGTGCTACTCTTATACTGTTAGAAATTAATAAATCAGTCAGATAATTATTAGACTTTAATAGTGATGGGCAGATGAAGCTTCATGAAGCATTGAAGCCTTTCATCCAATTGGTTCACTCCAGCGCAAAGCTTCTTGAAGCTTAATTTGCTCTAGGAGGACATCTACTGGATGCAACAATATCAGTTGGCATGAATTTGAAGTGTGTGGCATTTTGCAGAAAGCCTGTGAATAAAACTGTATGCAAAATAAAGAAGTATGCAAAACATGTATATTGTAGTGATGGCAGTATACTGTGTACATACATACATACATCCAACGTCTCTGACCCGGAGGGTGGGAGGCGAAGGGCCCTCAGCTGGTGATGCATCACACACCCCACAGAAGGAGGAGGTGGGAGCGCTGACGACCCGATGTCTCTGACCCAGAGGGTGGGAGGCGAAGGGCCCTCAGCTCGTGATGCATCACACACCCCGCAGGAAGAG